GTCTTGTACCGCTTGCAGGCGATGAGTTGTGCAGCGCCCCGGCGGTCCTTTGAAATCGACCAGCGCGCCAGAACGTGCCATCCAGAACTCTCCTCCGGCTCAGCCGGCCCCCGCCCTCCGAACAACGTCGTTGGCGACGAGGCGGCACCGCAATTAGTGGCGTCCGCCGACGCGCGCGCTGCCCGCCGGTGGAGGCCGGATGGGACGCTCCGTGCGCTCTGCACGTGCGACGCCGGCGACGCGCCCCGGGAGTGCTCCCCGCGGCGAGCCTGACGCGCTCCCGTCGCGCCACGTCGCCCGCATGCCATAATTCGTGTCAGGATTGACGCGAGGATCGTTATCGGCTCATCAATTAAGTGATTAATTCTATTAGCATGGCGGCCGGCCGGCGATCGGGCCGGTGCGCGCGGCTGACGGGGCTGACCGGACGCTGCACTCGATATGGCCCGTTTCCGCCGCGCCGGGTCGAGCCGCCGAGGCCCGAGGAATGGATGTCGACCGCTCGAGTCGCGCCATTATCGGCAGCTCTGAGCGCGCGATGGGCCGGCCGACCGAGCGGGCGCGCGGTGCGGTCGGCCCGATATGGTCGGCTCCGGCCGGCCGGCGCCACCGGTCGGTGAGTCATTAACCAGCGCCGCGCCGTGATACCGCACTCTCATTAAACTAACACAAAAACCATTAGCAGTTGGACGCTGGCCAGTCGTTACCGTTCATTTTATGAGCCGCTTAATGATGGCCGGAGAGACCGAGCGGTGCCAGCGCGGCCGGTCGGTCGGCCGACGGCCCAATCACGACCGTCACTCGCCGGTGACGAATCGGTTTTTAACAGGAATCCGGCGGGCGCGTCGTTAGTGCTGTGTCGCCGCGTTTTCGGCGTGCCGCCCGTCACCGCGGCGGCGCGGGCGGCGGCGGGCGGCCCGGGAAAGCGTCGCGGGCGGCGGCCACTCGCGCTCTTCCGGCGGAGACGTGTCGCCGCCGCGTGATGGCTGGCGCCAGCCGTCCGCATAAGTTGGCTAACACCCAGAGGCCCTGGTTTCGAAATCGGCCACGCGATGCTGCACGGCTGAATGGTCGCGGCGGCAGCGGCAGCGGCGGCGGTCGGTCTGCGACCTGGCTCATCCCCCGCCGAGGGCCTCTCTCTTCCCCTCCCTGCCTCCATCGTTCCCCGCGCTGTCGGGGACGTACTGAGCCGGAGATGCCGCACAATATTACAGACGGCGTCTGCTGCGCGGCGCCTAATTACTGAGATCGATATCCAGTCATGCCTTATCTTGTGGGAAATCCGTGCTATACGGCATCCGTAATGTGTCTTCTCGCTCGGTCCATTATGACAGCACTCGCTGCCAGTCCCACAGTTCCGGCTGCGACCCGGTCAGACCGAGCCAGCTGTCGGCAGCGGGCGCTCCAGTCTCAGCGACTTCCTTCCTGTCGGGCGTGCCCATTTCCAATCATAGCGCCGCCTGCTCGGCCGGGTCACACACCAGCGCGACACTCAGCCGGCTCGTTTGGGGCCCATTCTGGGAACCGTCCAGCCTTCCTTCGTCATGAGTGCATCTGGGAAATGTCGAGTGATGCCTTTTGCTACCGGGAACCTGTTTTCCGCAGCTGGAAGCGTCTTTTAGTCGCGGAGCGTAATTGCTCGTCTTTGTTTGTGGCTCAGCAGCCGGGAAGCGACGCGTGCACGGGCCGATTTTCCGGGTTCGCTTCCATCAACTGAGCGCGGTAGCGTGCCGACCAATTGGCTCCGCCGAGGAAGGAAATGCGGCCAAATCACTCACCAGCATCGCCGAGCGGCCTGCATTCCCGGCTAACAAGTTAGCGTGGCGTCACCGGCGAACAGCGCCGTGATGAGTCACGGTGCGGCGCTCTCCGGTAGGCTCGGCGGCCGACCTCCGCGTCGCCTCTCCCGGTGGGACGAGCAGCGCCGCCGCGGGGAGGCACCGCCCGTTGGCCCGGGCCGCCCCTGGACGAGCGGCGGTCGGTCGAGAGACTCCGCCGGTCAATTGGGAGGCAGCTCACGGCCGCAACGCCGGCGGTGGGCGGAGGCGCCGCCCGCCCGGTTCGGCTGGCCTCGCCGTGACGAGGGGAGTTAGGTTTGGCCTGACCGCGCCCACCCGGTAGCCGCCCGCCCCGGTAGGTCACGCCGACAATACTGCCGGTCATCAGCCGACAGCGGCAGTGGCGAATGGTCGTAGGGCGTCTGGTGTGACCACTGACCAGCGTGCAGTGTCAGTCTAGGAGTCAGGATTGGGGAGCATCGATATCAGTCTAGGTGGAGTTCAGGTCCAGTCTGGAAGTCCATCTCGGTGCAGTCTGGGAGTCTGTTACCGTCCAGTGTCGCGACGGCCGTCTGCGAGTCCGTCGAAACAGGAAATCGTCCGTCTGAGCGCGCCGTGTGGCTGCTGATAGACGGCCGCCCGACGGATGTGGGAAGCCCCGACTACAACTCAAACAGATCACTGACGGGCTGAGCTGGTGGTGAAACGATGGGGCATCTCGGCGCCGCCGGCTGCTCGGCTGTCTGACCGACAAACACGGCGCCCGAGCGCAGCTCCAGAGAGAGGAACTCGTGTCGTATGTTACTGAGCGACAGGGCCCTGCTGCTCTGCATAGGCGGTAATAGGAGTCTGCCGGCCGGCACGTTTGGGTCCGACGCGCCCCAGCTCCGCTCGTGAGGATTAATTATCCGCCCTCTGCCGAGCGGCTGCCGCGCCGGCCAATTGACCTTTGGAGAGAGGGAGACGGCCGGAGGGGAGAGGGTGAGTGACCCTCGCCGGGCGTGCCAAACTGCTTCCAGGGTATTGCACAACCCGAGCCAAGTTACATGGGTGGAACCAGGAAGATCGTGTTAAGACGTGGTTTGTGTGGATGATGCCATTGGGAACGGCTTGTTGTCCGTCGATGCTCTTCCTTGAAGCGATTTGCAGGGCTGTGTTGACCCCTCTTCGCTTTCCAAGATGCCTGCGCCGAATATCACGAAACCTTCGCGACATTTGTGGTGTTCTTATTCCCATACATCTGACTGACGAGTGCTTTTTTCTAACCATCGCCGTCTTTCGGACTGCTCGCCGCCGGATACAGACGTCCGTTTTCGCTGTATAAACCGGGTCCACGGCGGGCGGCCGGATGTGGGCCACACCGCGAAGTGGTGACCTGATAGTCACCGGGCCGGCCAGCGCGCCGGAACCAGCAGCTGGAGCAGATTGCACGGTGCGCGCGTGATTCACCGAGTTCGCCGCCCATGGTGCAAGGCGCCTCCATCCGGCAGAGCTCGGCTCCCAGAGGAGGCTGTAGAGCTGCAGAGCGACCACCCAAAAATGCTGGCCGGCCGGTAGGTACGCTGACCCGCTCACCGAGCAGGGCATGGGGTGCCTCCAGCGCAGCTCAGCCGTGGGAGCGGGACTGTCACTGGAGCCGAGCCGGCGGCCTCCGCCGAGCTCAGCTCATTGCCAACCGATAGCCGCTCGGCCGGCCGCGTGAAACGCGATCGCCGGCTCTTTGTGGCTGTGATCTACACGGCGCGTCGGCGCGGTGCACTCTCTGCAGTCGATTGGCCGATGAGTCATGCCCTCGGCACGTCTTTGTGGCCGTGTCGCACGGAGCGGCGGCTCTGTGACGGACCGATCACGGCTCCGGGGGAGGAGGGGAGGAGGGGAGGGGGCTACTGATGGTCGGAGAAGCTGCTGACCTGGCCGGTCAAAGACTCGGCCGGGCCGCTGACAGAGCTGCCGCTCTGCCACGGAGCAGCCGGCCGAGCCGGTCCGAGTCGGTCTGCAAGTTGTTTGCCGCGCTGATAATTATCACTTGCCATGCGTTACGTCATCTGTGTTATGGACCGATGTGCCAGATGGCCGGCTTTCTTCATGCTGCAGAAATGTCGTCAGGCTTTCATATCGTGACTTATTAATGTCCGCATTGTTGTCGGAATGGATTTCGCTCACGGCGCCGGGCTGCGAGCGATGAGACGGTCATACCTTATGATACGGCCGGCCGGCTGATCGGTCCGCCTACCAAGATCGATGGCCGCGGGGCGACTGACATTTCCCTGTCCAATACGCTGCGAGCTTCTTCAGGAAATAATTTGGTGCGATCGGTATTCGGTGCAGAAAACGATGAAATGAAGCGTTGTTCTACGTAAGCCGTGACACGTGAATAAGTGCTCATTAAAACTGCATTGCCTATGATGATTTAATTGCTCAATTTTCCTTATACGGGCGTGCCTTTTACGCACACTCCCACCACGCCATGGCCCATGGCTTTATTTTACGAATGGAATAATTTATTGCAATTTCCAGGAAGGATGAAGATTTCTAGTCTAGCCTCGGTATGTTTAAATTCTTTGAATGACTTCTTGTGGTTTGACTCGCCTCATGAAATACGACAAGCTAAAGGATATCAAACCAAGGCAAGCGTCATCCGAGTTGTAAAAACCATAATCGTCAACTAATGGGGCTGGGCTCGTGGCAGCCTTCTCGGTAGCAGCGGCTTATGTGGGCGGCTTGTAGTTGTGTCTGGTGTTGTCTGTAGTGCGAGTGTGGTCTGGGCCGTGCAGTCATCACAACCACGGTTTTTTTTTCTCCGGCAGAAATGACTACGACGACGGCGTCCGAGTGTTCGGAGGGCGGCGGCGGCGGCGGCGGGGTGGTGTCGAGCCGCGCCGCCGCCCAGCTGCCGCCGCCGCCGGCGCCGGGCCGGCCGCTGTGGCCCGCCCACCTCGGCTCGGCCACGCAGGCTTACACGCCCTTCTTCATCAACAACATCCTGGGCCTGGCGCGGCCGCCGGCGTTCGGCCTGTTCGGCGCGCCGGCAGCCGTCGCTGATGACGGGGAGGAGCCGCTGAACCTGACGGTGCGCGGCGCGACCGGCGACGGCGACGGCGCGCACCAGCCGGCCCCCGAGGCCGCAGAGGTTGCCGACTCCAAGCCAGCCGGCAAGGGCAGCCGCAAAGGTGAGCGCGCCGCGCCGGTTTGTTTGGGTTGCAGGTCACCGAGTCGGGGCAATAAGCAGAGCGGCTCGGACCGGCCGGCGGCGCGTCTGTGTCCACTCGCCGGCGCTCCAGCGACCGCCAGAGGCCCGCCGGCGACGACAGAGATGACCCGGCCGCCTTTGTGCCCGGCCGCCCGCCGGCCGGCCATTGCAGTCCGGACTGAGAGCGGCGGCCGCTTCACAGAACTCGCCAACTTGGAAATCTGTGACGAGAATCAAGTTATGATCTGGTGATGCTTGTCACGTTTCGGAGCCGCGAAGCCCGATATTTATGGTCCCAGATTGAGCTCCGAGTGCAGTCGGGCTCCCCTGTCGCCCAGACATGCAGCACCGCCACTAATCCTGGGAGTTTCCGCTGCCAAGTGATTTAAGGCATAATGGCCTCTGCCAAAAAGCGCATAATCTGTCGAACGAATAGCGATTTGTGTGCAAGATTCGCGGGATTTGGGGCACGGAAATTCCAGTCTCGATCGTTATTTCTTCTCGCCTCATTTTTCAGTTTTCCTGTTGTTCACTTCCTTGTCGGCGCTGTGAGCTCACTCATCTGATCTTGGCCCGCTTCAGTTCTATTTCTTTTCTCTAAGTATAGTAACAAAGTCTTAGTTTCTAAAATGCGTTAGAGAATACCGAATGGGACCAGGGACTACTTGCCGGCTAAGGATGTCGTGTTGAGTCTCGCCAGTGCAGTGCATTGTTGGATTTATAGCGCCCCTGTTTATAGCGTGTGGGAAATGAGGATAAGGCATGGGTCGCTGGTTTTGTCCGATGGCTCATCCCACTGGGCGGGATTAACCATCACACCCACGATCACACGAGCGGGGAGAGAGGGAATGAGGAGAGAGCAGATCACCGGTGATTTCGCCGCATCTGTGACTGTCCGTCGCCGCGACTTCCAGTCGGCGCTTTCCATCACGAGCGCTGCCCTGGCGAGAGGCGGCGGCGCGCAGCTGCGCTCTGTCAGTCGGAAGCTGGCGTCACCTCCGGATATCGCTGTCAATAACTAACGGCGATGGCTGGAGAGCTGCTCCGAGCGACCGTCTGATGCAAACCACCGCGCGCCTGGGCCGGCGATGACTGCAGAATGTCGAGAGCGCCTGCCGGCGGTCGTGTCCGGCTGGTGGAGCCGGTCGAGCAGTCATTAGTCGCTGGCCGGCGGTAACGAGCGGCCCGCCGGCTGACACTGTCCAGGCGCAGACACGGACCATCGCGCACGGCCGCCGCACCAAGCCGGACCGGCTCTGCAGCGCCCGTCCAGCGCCGCGTTAAACGCGCCGATTGCAGAGGCATGAACGGGCCGCGGCTGGTGTGGCGTACAGCCGCGGCTGGTGTGGCGTACAGCCGCGCCGAGCCGGGGTGCGGTCCACTTATCGAGCACGGGCCGACTTGCAAAACAGGAAGACGGGTGTGAGGAGGCTCGGGCGGACAAATTACCGCCTCTTATCAGCTCAGCCGGCGGCCGTGCCGAGAGAGCTGGGCACGGCGTGAGCAGGAGCTAACGGCAGAGCGGCACTCCCCAGACCCCCCGTTCCACAGAAGAGGAGTATAAGAGTCGAGTGGTCCCAAGATCGGCTGATGAATCGGCGTCTTGAGCATGAGCCCGAGCGCGGGCTCAGCCGTTGGGGGCGAGCGATCACTGAGCGCTGGTGATCTGCGGCAGACCGGATCAGGAGATGAAAACTGACCGACTCGCAGATTGAAGCGGGAAATAATGTGATTATTGAGAACAGACCAAGAAACGACGACGCGGCTCGGATCTTCTAAATTAGATCGCCGTTTATCGATCCAGAACACGGAATTGTGAGCATGCTCCGGCTGTAATTACCGCTGCCCTGGGCTCACATTCATCCTCTAACTGAGCCGACCCGAATGCGATCTGGCCAGGCCGCCAGGCAGCGGTAATCGGCCGGCGGATAAACAGTTTTTGCAGCGCCGTCGGCTCAGGGCGAACGGTGCAGCCGGCGCGTCTCCTCTCCCGCCGCCCGCAGATGGCCCGCCGCCCCCGCCCCGGCCTCGGCGCGGCGGCGGAAGCGGCCCGCTTCCCGCAGTGTCTGGTGCCTCGCTCGGGCAGCTGCCGACCGTAGCGGACAGCCGTGCTGCTCTCTGTCTGCCGTCCGACTCCGAGTCCGACCCCAGCTGCTGCCGGTGGCGAGCGGCGGTCACTCGGTACCCCGGGGCCGCGCACAGGCACACCCGACACCGACCGAGTGCTGCAGGGATCCGATGGCAATCGGTGTCTGTAGCACAAGACGTGCGTAATCAATGGGCAATTTTTATTGCTCGACAGGCCCGGTTTCCCGACCCTCTTTGTCAGCCGGCGCCAGCTGCGCCGCGTTTGCATCTCGAGCCATTAGTGGCTAGCGCGGCGCGCGCCGCTATCGTCCCGCGGCTTGCGGCGCGCCACTATCGTCGGTGCGGCTCTAATCGGCGGCGGTTTCGGCGCGGCGGCGGCCATCTCGGCGGCCGCTAATGACGCCCTTAATGGGATGACTGATAGCCGAGATCGATGGACGGGCGAGCTGCCGCGGGCGGCCGGATAGGAGTCGCCGCCGCCGACAGAGGGCCGTCATTGACACCGCCGCCGTTAATGATACATTCGAGAGGGTAGCAGCGGACAGGGATACTCGGGAAGCCGTGCCAAATCTGTCCGTTGTTGGGATGCTACAATTAGACACCCGTAAAGCCGACTGTTGGATAGCGTGCCTGCGAGCTCAGTGAGTCGACTCGGCCTGGCGCGCGATTGCCAGTTTTTATCGAGGTCCGATGGCGGAGGCAGGGGCTCGGCTGCGGAGAATGGGTAACCTTTGAACGGCAGTAGCATTGCGTGGCGAGTGGCTGTGCCGTAGAAAAAGCCCCGGTGCGGTGATGCCGTGAGTTGAAACATCCGGCCGCGGGGCGGTGACCAGTAGCAGGCTGAATGAGCACGGGGGCGGGGCGGGGCGCGGCGGCCCAGAGACGCACGGACAGCGCCAGCCGCCGCCGCCACCGGCGACCGGCTAATGACAACAAAAACGGTAATGGATGGCCTCTCCAGACACAGCTGACGTGACGAACGGCGTCGGGAATTATCGCCGAAAAACGCCTGGCCCGGCCGCACTTAATGGCGGCTATCAAAGATAGCGGCGGCCGGCGGCGTGAGGCGGCGGGGCCGAGTGTCGGCGCTCGCCGAGACGATCGATGATTGCCGCCGGATTTATCAGATTGGCGGCGGCGGCGGCGGCTGAGCGCGGCTGACAGCGGCGTCTGCCCGCCGCCAGCGCCCGGCGGCGATCGGCGATCGGCGGGCGCTGGTGAGTGGCCGCGTCCTGAATCATTGCTCGGATGTGGTCAGCCATTGAACCCACTTGGACCGGAAGCGGTCCGCTCTGTGGCAAACGCTCTGTTTTGACGGGCGCACATCGTCAGGTGCAGCGCGCGGCCCACCCAGGCGGCTGACCGCACGGCTCGCCCGGCCGGGGAATAGCTGTCGGCCTGGATCACTTCTGGGAACCGCCGGCAGATCATCTTGGCGGCGGCTCTCCGCGCCCGTCCGCCAGCCAACGATCACAAAGGTTTCCGAGGACATCAAATTAAACCGCACTCGGCCGGCCGCTGACGGCCCCCGGCGCGAAATAAATCGGCCCGGGCGAGGGCTCAGCCCGGCGGGGAGAGGGGGCCGAGCCGCTGAGACAGCGCGGCGACGCCGCCGACGGCGAGCGCCCGGGGAGCGGAACGCGGCGCCGCCGGCCCGCCCGGCCCGCCCGGCCCGTAACCCAGAAGCCGTATGTAAACAGCCGGAGGCGGCGGTGCCTCTTTGTCAGCCGGGCCAATTAGGCGGGCGCCGCGTGACTCAGCCGCGCCGGATCGGCCGCGCCAGCTGCGGCGAAAACAGCGCAGCGCCGCCGCCGCAGTCAGTGATGAGGTCAGCCCCTCGGCGGGGCCGGAGGTCGCTGCCGGAGCTGTCGACGGCTGCCGGAACCCTGACCTAATCCTATCACCTCATCTGGGAGAGCAAGGAAAGAGAGGGAGAGAGAGAGAGAGAGAGAGAGAGAGAGAGAGAGAGAGAGAGAGAGAGAGAGAGAGAGAGAGAGAGAGAGAGAGAGAGAGAGAGAGAGAGAGAGAGAGAGAGAGAGAGAGAGAGAACGAATGAAACAAAGTAAATATGACATCTACCTAGATATGAAAATCGGCGCCATAACATGATGCCTATATCTTGATATGATAATCGGCGATCGCTAATGTTCGCTGGTGCCAGTGGCCCGACTGCCGAGAGGCGATCGTGAGCGACATGACAGTTTTCCGAAATCGGGTCAGAACGTCGTCTGCCACCGGAGCCGGCCGAAGGGGAGCGCCGACACCGACCGCAGCCGTCACCTCATTAGGGCGGCGGCGACGCGTCGCAGATGGAGCGTCGTCGTCGGCGACGGACGGTGACGTCAGCGCGGCCGGGGAGCGCCGACGGGCGGCCGATGTTCCACTCCATCGGAGTCGACGTCCGGGCGGCGCCGGCCGAGCGCGCAGACGGCCGGCCGAGAGCAATTATCGCCTCCCGTCGCGGCCGGCCGGTCGGCAGGGTCCGGGAGACGGCGCCGGGGCAGCGCAGAGGCGGATCTCGGAGCAGTGTGGTGCAGAGGAGACGGATGTCGCCGCAGGAGGCGGATGTCGTCACTGCGCAGGAGAGGAGGCAGATGTCTCTATCGCAGACGGATATTGGCAGAGGTAGACTGGGAGGAGGATGTTTAGTAATTTAATTCGAATGATTTGAATGTACGGATTGACGAAATCTGAGCAGAGCTTGTTGCACGTGCCGATCCGATTACCATAGGAAATTCAGAGAAACCAGGAGAATTAATGAGCCGAAGTTTGGCGTGCCTAAATAAGCGGACACGGTCTGGCCGCTCACCGACTCAAAACTGCCATGGTCCATGGGTCTGCTTCCGCCAACTGCACAGTACATCCGTCAGAAGTTTTACGTGGGCATTGAGCATTCGAGCGTTGAACGGATGTTGAAGGGGGTTTGGGCACTCAGCAGGTGGATGTTATCCCGAGAACGGGAAAGGAAAGGAAGTTTATGTCGCTTTGAGGAGCCGGAGAACAGAGGGAGAAGGCGCTGGGAGGGGCCGGGCGGGGAGGCGGATGCAGTTGCAGGTATAGCCGCAGAGGACGGTGGGAACTCCCCAGCCGGCGGTGTCAGCCGCTGCGGCTCTGCTCCCCGCGCCGATAGCTGAGGTGTGGTGGGCTCGCTAATCTCACGGGCCGCTCCGACACCGCCGGTGCACGGTGCAGATACACGGGCCGGCGCCGGCGGCTCTGGCCGCTGCCATTATTCCGCAGCACGCCTGGACCGCAACTCGTTCGGGCGTTATCGGGGCCGCGGTCGGCCCGTGCCGAGCCCAACAGTGCCGCGCTGATGTATCGATCAATTAGCGTGGGAGCGGGATCACGGCCCTCCATTGCGGGCAGCGCTATAAAGCAGGCGGCGTGTCTCTGGCCGACCGGCCCGCCCATTACTGACGCCGTAAAGAGCTGATGATAAGCCGGATCACGGCTCATTAACGGCCGGCGGGTCGCGGCCGGTGCGTCACGGCGGCCGTGCTGGGAACGCCGCCGTGGCTCGGGCCGCGCCGACACACATTCATCAGTGGGTCTGCTCCAGGGGCCCAATTTTCATCAGCAGATCGGCCGACGGGGTGTGATGATGACGAAGGGGCGCGGCGCCGACCGAGGTGGCGAGCGACCCTCCCGGCGCGGCCGACGTGCCGCTGCAGCGCCCGTAATGGCAGCGGGAGGCGCGGCGGCGCCCGGCCGGCCGGCATTAGCATACATTAGCAGGCCTGTCATCGGCGCTGGTGGGCGTCGGCCGCCGGCCGGAGGGCGCTCAACAGGCACGAGACGGACCTCCGGGCTCTCCGGCCCGTGTCAGGCGCTCCAAGTCCAGACGGGAGAGTGCCATGTAAAGCGGACCGGTTCCCAGTGTAGCACAGCCCCGGGCTGATAAAGCCGAACTATCTGCCGCCATCATTAGGTAATAGGTATACGTGTTTACATACCGTCCCGTCAGTCCTTGTCAAGCACAACGCAGGCTATCAGTTCCGATTAAGTACCCCCCCCCCCCCCCCCCACACACACACCAGACGGTCCGACCCGGCACAGCCCTCTCAGCCCGTTCTGCAGAGCAGCGCCGGACTTGTGTTTCTTGCTCACTCCACGGCGCGCCCCGTCATTCAGCGGAAGACATTCCGATCCGGTGTTTATGGTCGGACTTGCCGAGAACGCTGCGAAATGGGCGCGCTTGTATATTTTTGACGCTCGCTATCTCTTGTTACCATCAGGAACGGCGCACGTCACTTCCCTGGAACTCAATAACTTGTTTCATATATGTTTTCTGGTCATGTCTCACGGAGCTTTCATTCACGTCCTGCAGAATAATGACTTGTGGCTAGCCTCATGCTCAGTCAGATACGCCGTTTACTCAACCTTATTTTACGCTATTGTTTCATTTTCATTTTAATCATTTTATGCCACGACAGGCTGTTCTAGCTCTACGAAATAGGTTACTGCTTTTAACGTTGTTTTGCATTTTTACGTCGTTCAACGACAGACAGGAGTATGTCTAGTTCTCTGTATCGAAGCTTTAATCCACACAAAGAGCTCGTTTTGTGGCTGGTTGAGGCGTGTTACGGCTGGACCGTGGTGTGACCCCAGCGACCCCTGGCGTTCTCCACAGACCGGCCGTCCAAGAAGCGGAAGGAGCCGCCGACAGCGGGTCCCACCACTCCCGAGGAGGCCGATGGCAGACGCAAGAAGGCGCGCACCACCTTCACCGGCCGGCAGATCTTCGAGCTCGAGAAACAGTTCGAGATCAAAAAGTACCTTTCGTCGACGGAGCGCTCGGATATGGCCAAGCTGCTGAGCGTCACAGAAACTCAGGTGAGTTCTCGCTCCCCTCCCTGGCCGGTCCGAGCGTCCTGCCCCCCCCCCCCCCCGGCCGCCCCTCGGCCTCTGTCATCCCGGTCCGCTCGCCGTCAGCCATGACAGGGTTCTATAATGGACCTGTTGATCGATGATCGGTGGTGGCAGTTCCCGAGCGGACCTGCTGGCCGCTCGGTCGGACCCCATTAGCGACTGAGGATGCGCGCTCAATACAGCCAGCTCGCCGGCTCCCCTCCCCCACCCCCCCTCCCCCTCCCCGGCCGGCGGGCACGGCGAGTCGTCGGATCGGAGGCGGCGGCGGCGCCGCGGGGCGTGCTCCACTATTGATGGCGTCCGTTTCCATCGGGCGGTGACGGCGCTCGCTCCGATCACTTTATTATTCCGAGCGGGTGCGAGCGCCGCCAAGTTACCGACCGACCGACCGGCGGGCAGGCGCCGTGCGGCCGGGGCGTGGCTGCCGCTCGCAGCAGACGCACATAACCGTCTGGGCAGCGTCGGTAGCGTCGCTCGCCGTCGGTAGCGGCGCTCCCGCATTAGCCGCCGGCCGTCCGACAAACAAATTACTGCGGCGCGGCCTGGCCGCCGCTCGTCGCTCGCAATCACGCCCTCAATTACGGCCGGCGGTTGGCAGCGGCAGCGGCAACAGGACTCGGTCGCTAGCGACGGCGGCGCTCAGGGACGACGGGACGGCGGCCGCGGTCCCCCTCCGCCTCAGTCACCGCCGGCCGCTATTAAAGATGCAAATGAGATTGATGTGAGCCGCCGAGCCGCCGCGACGGACGGCAGACTGCGACGACTGTCCCACTGCATTTACGAGTGCCACTCGGAACTTAGAACATGTCCGTCCGAACCGTCCTAGTCAAATCATCGTAACGTTTTTATTTCGTAAAACTTTGTGGGTAGGTTTAAATGGCTACATTCTAGGTAAATTGCGCTGTTCCTGACGCATCTCTTCTTGTCAGGGAATTATAGACAGAATGGAACTGAGAGTCGAACGTTTAGTTTACTCAATGTAGATGGACACTGCGCCACAGAGCACCGATTTCAGTCGATCCGTTATGCAAATATTTCCTCATTCTCCTCAACGAGCGGACGCTAAAACGTTCCAACGAAACCTTCACCATCGGCCTCCCTCAACAATCCGACGAGCTTGCTGCTGACGACCCTCGCTGAGCCAATGAGTCCGAGGCCGCCGGCGCTGACCCCTCCCCTGCCCCCGGGGGGCGGGGGGGGGGAGGCCGCTGGCCCCGGTCGGGTTGAGCTCGCCAGTGACTGATTAGTGACGGCAGCCGCACAAGTGCGTCCTCCCCTCCCCTCCCTCGCTGCGGGCGCGTCTCCCGGTGCCGGCGCGCCCTCGTTCTCCGCTCCCCTCAGCGGCTTATTGGAGTCGTCCGGATGGGGCGGCGAGGCGAGCCGGCTGTGCTCGGCCGCTCCACCAAACTAATTATCTGGCCATGATTTGCCGCCGCCGCCGGCGCCGGTGCCGCTGCGAGGATCGATGGCCGGCGCCGGTGACACCTCGGCTCGCCGACACCGCGCGCTATCGACCAATTAGGCGAGCGGGGAGCGGCGGCCACCGCTCCGGCCGGCTCCTGCCTTATTCAGGCGGCCGGCGGTGGAGAGCGCTCCAACATTGATGGCCGCGAGCGGCGGACGGCGCTCCCGGGCGACCGGCGCCGTAATGGGCAGCTGCTGTCGCCGACCCTGCGCGCCCGGCCGACCGAGCATGTTGCAGCTGCCTGCTGTCGGCTCAGCCTCCTCCGGCGCGGGCCGGGCTGATACGGGCGGAGAATTAATTCGTGCGGGTGGCTGGCGCGGCGAGTGGCGCGGCAGTAGCGGGGGGAGCCGGCGCGGGCAGGACGGAGTCGGAGTGGCTGACCACTGGCCGCCGCGCCGGCCGCCGCTGCCCGCTGCAGCGGCTGTTTGTTTAGGTTGGGCGGCAGTGTTTAGCTGAGCACATGGCGCCGTGCAGTCTGCACGGCCAGAGCTGGAACCGGGTGGCACGGCCGGCTGGCCGCTGCGGGCCGGCCGGCCGCACCCGTGACCGTGCGGGCACCGCGGCCGCTCAGAGGTGCCGCTCCCTGGGCCGGGCGCGCTCCATTCCAGAGCCATCTCTCAGCGCCGGGGGCAGCGCCAGACCGCGCGGCGGGCAGCCGCAGCTGACACTGAACACGACTCGCTTGCAGGCGCCGCTGACCCCAATGGATTGCAAATGATGAAAGTCATAAACACGTTCCATCAGAGTCAGCGCGCCGCTCGCCGCGACAACGCCCGTTGGACGCCGCAGGAAGCGATCACTCCGGCCTGCAAAAATAATCGCACACTCGGACCGATGGACCCTTTCATCGGACATATTTTGCACCAGCCCAGACATGACGTGGCCTGTCGTCTCTTTGTGCAAAGACGTGGAAATGCCGGGCGACTCGCTTCATGAGAACCTATCACGTTGTACAGGGTGTCCCATAAGTTCGTTCTCACCTAAATTTTACGTTTTTAGGCTTTCTTGCTTAAAGGCACGCTGAAATTGGTTCGTAACTGAGCTTACATGGTTGCCATGGCTGGTAGAAATATGCTCCACAGTAGCTAATTTCTGTAGACAAAATAGTTTTTGCTAGAGAGCCCGCTTCCTACAGAGACGGCTAACGCCGCAACATAGAGGTCTCCGATACGGGTACGTCTCAGTATTTAGTCAGCACGTGACCATTCGCGACGATTGAGGGTGATTGAGGCCTACCAGTCGGTAGCCAATATCCATCGCTAACTGGACGCACAGTCAGCAAGTGACGCCGATGATTTGTTGGGAGTCAATAACTGCAAGTTTATCCTCTTTCTAGCCAGCCCTCAGGAATGAGCCAAGTGGCCAAAACTGTGTGGCGCCAAAGTGGCCATCAAAAAGGTCAAAGGGTTAGAAAGTTGGTAAACAGACTTTTCAGGATGGATTACCAGCTGTCTAAGAGTGTTCTTTCGGGGTACATAACTCAAGGTGACTTAAGCTTTACTTACCGGAGGGCTCAAAACAGTCAAAAACGTCTTAAAATGGCCAAACATGAGTTTCGTTATGCCTGAGGCTAAACAAAACTAGAGGGCTGATGACATCAACCAGGTCATCTGGACTAACTAGTCCACGTTCGAGATGAAACACCCGTCCAAACCCGAAAACAACCCCATAAGGGCGAAGGAGGAGGCCTTCATTTCGTCCCGTTATGTTCCTATGCAAAAGGCCAAGGTCACTGTGTTGTGGGGTTATAGGCGTTCTGGAGTTGATCAAGTTACAAGTGGCAACCCGGAAACAGTTTTGGGAAGCAGAATGCTTTTCCAAGAACATCTAGGAGGAATTTCAGCCCTCAAGCTGAACTCGAACCGCGAGTATGAACACATTTATAGAGGAGAAAATGGCATCCGGGAGGTCGTAGGCCCATCTTCAGGCAAGACAGTGCATCAGTGCACAAGTCAAGCAAAGCTTAAAAGCGGTGCAAGGAGACTGTGACAGGCGTTTGTGGCAAGATCACATGCCAGGCACCTCATCGGATCAAAATTTCATAAAAATTTGTTGGTTATGCTGAAGTTGAGGCTCGTTGAAGCGTAGCGCTGTTCCAGCCTCGAGGAGCTCACGGCGCATGTCAAGTCAGTCTGGGTTAACTTTAAGCCTGCTATGCAGCCAAACATGCCGGTTGGCATGCCGCAGCATGTATTCATGTGTTTGCCTATTAAATGGGGAGCACATTGAGGGGTCATAAATATACCAAAACGCAATGTACTCTGTTTCACATGCAAACATAATGTGAGAACGAACTTATGGGACACCCTGTACAGATCTTTGTGTACCTATGAGATCAGTAGACGGTGTAAGTAAATGCCCGCTCGTCACTGTCATTCTGTTGGTCAATCGATAAGCGTATTTGTCGTCAAACAGCATCATTTACGTGACGGTGGCGACTGCCGAGATCCAAACAATTTTCCGTCACACCAACGACTCCAGATCGTTTGGAAAGTCGTATTGACCCCATGTTGTTGTGCAAAGTGCTCGAACGATTCGAGCCGGTCTGACCACTGCCAATGGCGAATTTCCAGCCGATTGAACCCGAGGCCTCAATGCGGCAGTTTATTTCCGTGCACCATTGCGGGTTCTGACGAGAGCAGGTCGCACTCGCCGTGTCGTTAAACCATTAACGACAGCTGCACGACTTAATCTCTTGTGGTGGCCACTCGGAGTTGGGCCTCCATCGCAGCGGATTGCGGAGGGAGACGGTTAATGGCTGTTCTGGTTATAACCGGCCGCTGTCCGTCGTCCGATTCGCAAACACCACGGCCCGTACTTCCGTCGGCCGTGCCTGTCGACCTGACGAGAGCCAGGCCGGCCACAGGGGAAACATTAGCCGGCACAGAAATACCACACTAATTTGCCGACCACTTGTGCAATGCTGGAGACGGGGACGGACAGCAACTGGTGTGGAATTTCCATCCTCCAAATGCCCATCGTCTGGTATTGGCTGTCAACTGCTGAACGACGCTGTACTGATGCTGAGTATGTAAACTGTGAGGGAAACGCGACAAATAGCGAGTGAAATGTGTCGCTTTTGACTGAGACAGAGGAGGAAAGGCCCTCGTGGTCTCAGGGGAGCAGAGTGGACAGCGAACATCGGACTGTGTTGTAGGATGGAAGTGGACCGTGCTATGGGACGGAGAGAGCCGTAACGAGGGGAGATGTTGACTTCACAATGGGATGGAGCGGAGCGGACTATGCCATGAAACGGAATAGATTCAGCTTCTGCTTTCGAGATGCGTCGCGTTATAAGACGTGTAGGTACACAATATGCAATTTGTCTTCTCACGTGCCTTCTTGTCTCTTCAAGCCGGGTCGCTTAGCAGCCCGTGTGCCTGGATGCTAGTGTATTTCGATATCTCCGAACACAATTTCAGCGTCCTGTTGTCCCAGCCAGTGAAATTCTTCCAGCGCCTTTTGTAGGGCATCTCACCGCTCGAAATCCTGCGCCGCCTCTTCTTCACTCCGAGATCCAGCAATCTGACTCATTCTCTTTATATATTGCAGGTGAAGATCTGGTTCCAGAACCGGCGCACCAAGTGGAAGAAGGCTGAGAACGAGGCTGCTGCTGCGGCCGCCGCCTCGGCAGCGGCGCCCGGCGCGGCTGCCCCGACCACGGGCGCTCCGATCGCCGCTCCAGCCGCTGCCGACGCCAACACCACTGACAGTGCCGGTGCTGGTGACGGTCCTGGTGACGCCGCTGCTGAGAAGAGTCCGCGTCACTCCGACTCCGAGCCGCCGTCGGCCGAGACGGAGGCGGACAGCGCCGGCCGACAGGCCTCTCCCCACGCCGACAGCTCCCCGCTGACGGCGGCCAGCCCGGACCGTGCCAGCGCGTCGCCGGCCCGCTCCCCGCCGCCGGCCGACGCCATTCGTGCCACCAAACCGCGCAACGGCATCGCAAAGCTGGAGAGCCTGGTGTTCGAGCGAGAGAAGGAGGCGGCGCTCAACAACAACAATGTGCCGACCGAGCAGAGCCGACAGTGCGCCGAGAGCTGAGCACACTGTCACCTGGTGGCCGGGTGGAATAACTGAAGTTTGTTGCGCTGCCGCGGGGAAGCCGCGGCGCTGCGGTCGGTCCCGCGATGGACCACCGCCTGCGTGGGACGCTGGAGCCAGCCATTGCCTTATTGTCGCTGGGAGAACGATGACCTGCTGAGTGGCTCGAACTGGCCGTATCAGTGCAGACCGAGGACCTCAGTGTGAGGCGGTGTGCCGAGATCGAGCTTACCGAGCCGCCGTTTGTCTGTCTGTGTGGGCGCGCGAATGTGTGTCAGGCTGTCGATAGCCTGGCCGGCCGAGTCCGAACTTACAGCACTGAGACTGGCACCGGCCGGCCGAGCGGACGGGCGCGGTGGTACCCACTGTCCCTCCGTCTCCGGGTGTCGTATGTACGTTAGATGTCGGCGCGGGGCGCTGCAGGCTTTTGTACCCGCCGCCCAGCCTGGGGCTAGTCACCACTAGAGCTTATCCGCGAACATAATCAGCTTGCCGGGCGAGTCAGGCGGTGTGCGAGGGTGACGACGGGACGGAACGCCAGTGGACTGTACTGGGCGGACAGGCGCCTGTTATCCAGGGCGAGCTCAGAAGCGTGCCGGACCGCATCCCTTTGAACGCCGCGCCGAGCAGGCTCGCCCGCTCAGGGCCCTCAGAAGGCCGTACAAAGCTCCTGGATCTTTTAGCGACTGGTTCTCGGCCGTCAGGTGTGCGTGTCCGCCCGATGGGTCCGCGTCATATTGTTGTCACGATGTTCTGCGTTGATTATTTAATTATGAAAATAATCGCTTAGTTTGCATGCATGTGTTTCCGCTGTTCGGGTGTGTGGCAGTGGAAAGGTGGGCGCTTAAACCGAGAAAATATACGAATAAACGTTATGTGTGTGGTGGCGAACAATGCCCGCGAGTCATGGACAAAGAAGTGTGCTCAAAAGGAACACATGCTACAACATGACGCCTCACAGCGTCCGTGCCTTCACGACACACGCCCATTACGGAACGACTCGATCGGTTCGTACGTTTCGTCTCACACCGATCTCCCACAACCCGCATTTCTACATTACGTTTGGTTAGTCCCTCTGATATCTCCCCGGTCTTGCGGACGGTTCGATACCATAACGCGACGAGCCATGGGCCATGGTTCATCGCGGCTTATTTCCAGTCAGTTACTGACACCCATTAGATCACCGAGCACTTGCTGTGGAGGGTAACTCGGGCCTGGCTGAGAACTATTCTGGAATCTGGGGCGTTAAACTGAATCATGAGCAAGCTGTTACATCTAGCGAAACACTGCAAAAGGTCCATTTTTAAGTCTAAGTCACATTCTGGGAGGAAAGGCTTGAGTCTAGGCGTTCATCGCAGTAAACACAAAAGGAAAAAACGTCTTTATATTGCAGCGGGTCGCTGAATAACAGTCAGTATCCCTCATATCAAAACACCCCTATGCATCAAGACAGCCCGTCAGCCCACTGCCAGGGCTCGGCTGCGGGGCGGCCGAAAGCGGAGCTCCGACTGTCCGTGCGCGTACCGGCACTGGTCTGCCGGCAGCGGGCACCCTGCGGGCAGGTTGGTGTGCTGCCAGCAAAGGCTGGTCTTCAACGCGGCAGCCAGCTCGGGCCGGGAAGGGTCGGCCCGTAGCCAGTCGGCCCCCTGCAGGGTTACTCTGTCACCTCGTACGTTGAATACGGACGCGTGGTTTTTCAGTAGTGTCTTCAGGCCGCCGCACTGTTGCCGTAAAAGCCGCAGGGTGTCGCTACCTAGCAGCGCCGCCACCTCCGGCAGGGACAGAACCGTGACAGCAGCGCCATCTGTGTCTTCCCCCGCCAGCCGCAGCGCCACCTGTCGTACAGCGGCGGCGGCCGTGTCGCCCGGCAGCTGGGTGCAGTTTCGCACAGCGGGTACCGCGGCACGCGGCTGGAATGGGACTGACCCAGCCGCCGTGAGCTCGCGCAGCTGATCGGCTGTGACGGATGCCGTCCGGCGGCGACCCACCACGCAGCGTCGCCGTGTGGACGGGATACGAAGACGGTCTTTCTCGGGGACGAACCCACACCGCTCTGATAGACGGCCCACGTACTGGAGATACTCCTCATACTGAGACAGCCTGCCGACAGCACCGCAGGTGGAGGGGGGGGGGGGGGAATTAGTGGCTAGCACGCACTGACGGACGCATACGCGGCGGCCAGGCATCAGTGCCACGGAGCAGCATTTTCGGAGCTGCATTTTGTATGCAAAGTTAGCCTGGTGTCGGCGCGGTAGGTATAGGACAGTCCCGGTGCTTGCTAGATACGAGCGCCTGAGACTTACCTGGTGTCTGCGCGCTGGTATTTGCTGTAGAAGTCCCACGGGCAGCAGGGCAGCAGGAAGAAGCAGGTCTCGGGCCCCGTGGCGGCTGCCATGACCGGGATCCATGGAGTCAGTTCGTCAGAGTGGTTACCGATCAGCCAGTCGGAGCCGGGGTAAGTGGTGTCGGCCGACGGCGACACCGTCCCCACCTGGCGGCGAGCGGCGAAACACGAGTGTTGGCAACAAGAGCCAGAATGGCAAGGATGTGAGGATTTTGCGAGTTACCAGCCGGACACGATTGGCGATTGCAGGCAGCGCGATGGTTCAACAGGTGGCCTTCGTCTGACACAGACTGACACAAACATTCACCTCGGGTTCGGTAGTCTCTGGGCTGGTGCCATTGTAGTGCCCCCACCTGGAGTTTGGTGGAGTCCGGGTACAGCTTCCAGATGCCGCGGCTCCGGATGTCGATACCGTATCCCGGGTGGCCCTCCGAGCAGAGGATGTGCACCTGGACGGAGAGCTCAACACAGTTAACGCCTGGCACAGAGACACATTTACTAACACATATCAGTGTCGCGAGCCACAGCTCCATATCTGTCCACTGTGCAGGTATAGCTCCCGTTATCCTCCCATGGTTAAACCTAAGGTGGATATTTGATCCCTGTTCATCCCTAGCTCCACCGACTGATCCCCGGACCGTTAGCCCTCCTTCCTATCTTCAACGAATAACCATCAAACCGTTTTAGCACTCCCCGCCCCAACCCACCACCCAACAGCACGTTTAACCTCTACTCGCCCCACCGACTGACCAGCAGGCCGATTCATCAATCTTGGATTCATTCCCCCCCCCCCATTGACTGGCCGGCAGACCGATTCATCTCCCCACGGCCCACACCGACTGGCCAGCAGACCGATTCAGCCCCACTGACTGACCAGTAGACCGTTTCCGCAGCCGATGTCGACGAAGCTCTGTTTGCTCGCGCGGCCGAGCCGGCGCCGGTCCGCCTCCCAGAGCAGCAGAAGGTAGGACGCGATCGCCACGTCCTCGTGTACAAACTTGGCAGGGTCCGTGTGCTCTGGCCAGATCTGAAACACAGCAGACGGGGAGACCAGATAGGTGTCACAGAGGTCACAGACCGATCACAGAGGTAGCGACTAGCGATACATGATCGGGCACCACCTGAACGTTACAGTCAAAGAATAGAGAACTTTTCGGCCTCCACTGTTCGGCTATTCGACAAAAATAATCGTAAAGGCCGACAAAAAGAACCGATCGAGAAATAAGACATCAGACATGCTACCTAGCGTGGCCTCATGAACAACTGCAACCTGATAATCGATAGGATCTGTTTCTCGTTAGATAAGCCTAAATTTAATACACTAATCACATGAGTGTAACAGCCACAGCCCGAGGCACACCAAGCTCCGTCGGTTCTCCATGAGTCACCTTAACGAATTCTGCGGCGTATTTGACTTTGAGCTGCTTGTAGAGCCGGTCGTAGCGTTCCGTGTCGATCAGCCGCAAAGAGGGTTCGGCCGGCGCCGCTGCGGGGGCCGCCATGTCCACGGTCCAGCGCGCTACCTTGGGCAGCGCGTGCTCGGCGAGCCAGCGAGCCGACGGCGTGTCGGCCGCGGCGGCCGGCGCCAGCAGGCGGAGAGTGTCGGCCTGCAGCTCCAGCCGGTAGGTGAACGGGGGAGTCAGCCGGCTGCCGGCCTGCAGCGGCACGAACGCGACGCTGGTGTCGTCTGGAACAGCAGGTACAGAGACGATACAGTTGGAGAGGGGAAACGTTTGTTTTTACAAAGGCACATACTGTTCGGAAAAACGAGTTCTTGTTGCGCACCCATTGTGAGGTGCTGACAACAAGAATGACAAATAACAATCACTTATATCGGCTAGTACTAGTTTACAGATGCGATCGAGCTCGCACACGCTGCACGTGTCGGCTAGGGATTTTCTGCGATTGTGGTGATAGGTGTTGTGTTTAAATTACTTTCAAGACTCATTTTGCTGATCTAAAAATTTCCAATTTCTTTGAGCCATTGTTTGGTCTTTTCCATCGACTTTGAAACATTCCTCGCTTGTCTGCACCCGGCACCGTCGGCGGCTGACAACTTGATTACCCGCCATCTTGCCGTTTCATCTTCGGCGTCTCGGTCGTAGGTATTTCCGGTCCACCACCCGCCCTTTTGGCACCCCCGCTATCCCGGCCCGCCCGCCCCTGGCCTACCCTCTCTTCCCCCTCCCCTCTCCCAATCAACATTAGCACATTTATCAGGAAAGGTTTACTCTAGTATCCAAATTGATCTAAATGTAATTCAAAACAGCACACACTACACAGTGACGGTCATCCGACACACCGGGTACCAAAGGTACGGGGAAAGAGGGGTGTCATGGGCTCACCTGTGACGACCAGGTCCCACTCGGCGGCGGCGCCCGTCTGTCTGGGCACCACCTTTCTGACCGCCAGCCGGCGGCCGGCACCACCCGAGTCTCCGCCGGCACACGCCACCGCTGCACTGCCAGCCGCGGCCGATGGACAATCCACACCCAGTCGGAGACACAGCAGCTGCTCCGCCTCAGCCGGCAGCCGATCCGAGTCATGGTGTGGAGAACTGTCATTGGTCATGTCATGGTGCGGAGAGTCGTCTCTGTTCTCAGCAGGGGGAGAGCCCTCAGTGATAATGTCATGATGTGAGAAGTCTTCAGTTGAGGCATCAGCAGACTCTGGGATGGTGGCACTGGCAGACAGCAGCGGCCAGATGATGGCGGCAGCCACACGACGGTTGACAACATGTGTCTGACGTGTGAACACTTCAGCTGCTCTACTGAAGCCAGCCTTAGAGCCACCCTTCACTGACAGTGATGTAAGGGGAATCAGAGGCTCCTTCAAGGCAGCCTGAGGGCAATGGAGATTAAGTTAGCTGGTAATCGGTATCCTACACATATCAGTCAAAGTGAATGCTTATTAGTATATGAAGCCTGAATGAGAGAGACCAGACAAACTTCAAAGTATGGCACATGCATGTCGGAAGGCCAAGGCGCACCCAGTATGATGAAAGTGCACAGCCATCGCCTGCTTTACGACTACCTACATTTTGAGGTGAAGCTTGCATGCTCCGCAATGCTCTACCTCAACTAGGGATCCAGATCAAGCACCTTGGAAGGAGGCCTGCTCATCAAGCCATCAACTAACCCTGTCCGCCCATAACAATCAGTTACAGTTAGCCACTGTGAAAGTGACATAATTTGTGGCACTTGTGTAATGTTTGCAATCATGATCTGTCACAAAATTGATCCCTCTTCGACAACATTCATAATTGTTGATATTGTTCTCTGTTCTGATTCCAAACATAGCAATAAGCCAATAAACTTTACACATTGCTTGTGTTGCCTCTACTTACCATACTGATAAGAATAACTCAGCAAATGGTAAAGAGTGCCCGCTGCCTGCTAATTAGAATGCTGGAATTTGATTTTAATACTATTTTGAGTTTTGACTATTCCTATGATTCCTATCATATCCTTTTTTTTTTTTTTTTTTTTTTTTTTGCTCGGTCGGCCTAGTGCCATACCCGAGCAGGGGGCAGTTACTCCGGCAATTTTCGCCGGGCAGCAAGTCTTACGTTAAACCGGTTTATGTGAACCCGGTAGCAAAAACAACGTGGGATCCTATCTTAATGTGGAATCAAAGCTAAGGGAGGTACTTACGTGTATAGCCAAAGAGCCGAGATGTCTGGAGTCGCAAACACAACAGTGGTAATGACTTTCCCAGATACTGATACGGTGCCCATTATTTTTGTGCGGCAGTAACGTATTTATGGCGCAATAAATGACTCTTAACAAACGCTTCAAAATCAAACATTAAAGTTGGGTGAATTGTTTCCGAAACTGCTTCTTTTTGTGCATTAATAATTAAGCATTGGGGTTAATTTCTGTTAAATATTAAAATTCAAGAAAAAAATAAATGAAGTATTGTTGCCAATAAGAGACGTGATGAGATCAAAATGAAATATTCGACCACTAAATCTAAATTGCTGAAAGTTGAGTGAAATACTCGCTATTCCTGTCTCCTGTAATCATCCTGTAATGATCATAGGCAGTTAAAATTGCAATAATTGTGCAACAATTATTAAGGTTGTCATCGATAGTTTGTCTAACCGACAAAGTTTTTTATCTTTGACTGGATTCGTGAAAAAGTGAAAAGCATATCTGTCCGTGGCGATCAGCTGATCGCCCTCTTTGTTTATCGAAATGCTACCACCAGTCCATTGTTTTTATCTGAATTTCAATTTATTGATGCAGTGTGCTAGGATAGCGGCGTGACTTTGTGACTATGCGCAACAAAATGTTTTTCTCCTACTAAGACATATACAAATATGTCAAAACTCACTTCTAAAAAGTAATGACGTCAGACCCTAATAGCCTTCTGCTACGTTCTTTCCGTTCAGCCCCGTTCATTGCGTTCAGTCCGAAAGCGACCGCCGCTCTGAGAGGTTGGACTGCAACGCGCGGGGGCCGCGGCTGCTTTGTGAAATTTGTTTAAACCCGTCTTTCAGCTTCAATTTAACACCACAATCTTTAAGAATCAAAACACAAGGACTCTGTGTTTTAAGGCATTGAAGAAAATAAAGGCTGCTGGTGCACCGCTTGGGCTCAGGCTAAATTCCAGTTGCTAAGCCTTGAATAGGGCATTTTGACTGCTCATCTGTTTTGCCTGCCTATTATATTATCATAAAAATGTCCATCGCTGCTCTGCTTGAGGCTGCTGACTTCTTGGAAAGGAGGGAGAGAGGTAAGTATCTTTTAAGCTCATATTTTGCGAAGAAAAAAATGAAAACTCCTGATAACTATTGCTGCTTGTGCAAGTTCATGTTTTTCTGTGATAATACCTTTGTATTGAACTTTTCAATAGTTCTTAATACCTAATATGAATTGTTCCACTTGCTCAATGTCCTACACTTTACAATTTGTAAGCACCGAACCCCACTCAAAGCACCTTTACATTCAGACAGCGATCAGCAGAGCACATGTTTTCATGCATTTTGGAAATGCTGGGTGATTTTCTTTGAAATATGAAGTGCTATCAATTGACGCTATGTTTATATTTTGTGTTTCAGAGGCTGAACATGGATATGCCATTGTGTCAGTTGTTCCTCTGCCATCTCGTAAGGTGGATTCAAAACTGAAGGCTGTCAAACATCCTAGGTCAAAGAGGAGCTTCAGCCACAGGTAAGGATTTTTTTTTTTCAAATAGGGATCTACTGTGTCATCAGTACCTTGATATTTATTGGGTTTCATTAAATTAAAATTGCTACAATTTTCAAATTCTTTAGTGCAATGGTTATAATTTTTTATTGTGTCACTTGTGTTTAGAATGTTTCATGTACCATTCTGTTGTCCTATGTATTATTCAAGTATTCATCAATTAAGTACTCTCCATTGTCTAATCCCTTTCCTATTTGATACTATAATCAGTGATCACTAGGGTTTCTACTGTTTTTATCATGCACTCTTTATTTTCTCTGTTCCCAGGTCCACCCACAATGAACTGGAGAAAAATAGGTAAGTGAAACTAATATCTGATTTAAGTTTGAATTCATGTTTTAGTACCAAATAACCAATATTATCAGTACCTTTGCCTTATTTGCTGTCATCCTTATGTACTCTCTTTCAGAACATTGTTAGTGCTTTTTTTTAGACTTGTCAATGTGTGATGTTTCATGATCAAATCCTTACTGGGCAGCTAAGCCACTGCTGGCTTGAGTTTTTAATTTTTATTGCCAACTAGCTGCTTATAACCAGTGCTCTATCCCTTTGCATATCAATGGTTTTCCCGATGAACTGGGAAATACTAGAAATTTCCTAAACCCCATCAAATTAATGTCATTTCCTGCCTGCACCAACACAAGGAAAGAATCCACCTGCTCAGTATTTCCTTGTTCTGTCAACTGTATGTGACACGGCAGCTTGAGGGTGTCTCAAAATGATGGTTTTCCTTATATCCATACACTAATATCTCCATATTCATTTTTATCAAAACCTTTCTCTCGTGCTCCCACCGCGCCAAACCTTCGTTAGTAACTGGCGCGATCGTTGAGCTGGCGCTATCGGCGGCCGGCCGCTGGACGCCCCTCCCACGGCACTGCCACGTGGAGGCGCGCGCTCTGCGCCATGTGCGTGTCGGGCCGGCGCGGCGCGCTCCTTTGTCGGCCGCCGCGCCGCCGACTACTCCTATTGATCACGTGGCGCGCCGCAGCGCGCGCTCAGCTGACGCCGCGCGCCCGCCGCCCGCTCGCGCGCTTTGTCCGCTGGTGCCGCTGCCGCCTCTCTGTTTGGATGCTTGCAAACTTGGCGCGCAGGCCGCGGGCCGGTTCAACGGCACCATTAGGGGCGCCGGGGGCGCGCCATGACCATGAACGTGGTCTGGAAAAATGACGCGGGGAGGTGCGTGCCGGAGCAGCGACGGCCTAATTGTATGCGGAGCTCGGTGTGGGCCGGTCACTGGCGGTGCCTGCTGAGTCGGTCCCGACCGGTCGACGGACGACTCCCGACCGCGACGGCCATCGACGACCCGCCGGCCAGCGTCGCGGCCGCGACAGCCCGAGCCTCCCCCGAATTCAATGGAAATCAGCAGGTGGCCGCCGCAGCGCATTTGACAAATGAAGCTGATAACCTCTCTCGGCCGGCGGGTGAGGCTACGTGCGCCCCGGATCCTAACGGCGTAATTGCTCCTCATGGGAAGTGGCCACAAGATGGATGTGCTGTCGCCATTGTTCTTTCATACTCGGCGCCATCGTTTCAACGTTCATTGTCTACGTCTAATCGAAGTGAACCTTTGTGTTGGATGCCCTCAGTATTTGAGTTTTGTTATTTGTGTCTTTGAGGCGGACCAAGGCTAATGATGCCAACACTTCGAATTCATTACAAGCCGGAAACAAGTATGGCCAGGGAAACCAGCAGGCTATCAGGTCTTTCATGCTGGATGAGTGTTGTAGCAGGTCATATGTAGGGGAATGATCATGCTTGTCTTCTCGTAGTGCGCTGCTACACTGCCGTATTATGTTGGCCAGCTTCTCCCGTTGCCCGCTGCACGGCTGTGTCGTCCGGAGCTCGGCTGGCCTGGGCGGGCCGCTGGCGACTGCCGGGGGGGCGGTGCCGGCGCCGCGCCCGCCGCCGCTCTGTGTATGCCGCCGGCCGAGCGTGTCCGAGCGGCCGGCCGGCTCGGTCGTACCGACAGCGCGCCCCACTGTGCCAGCCCGCTGCCCACGCTGAAAGGCCGTCCGTCTTACACCCCCTCCGGCCGACGACGGGTCGGCAGACGAGGATGTGGGGCCGACGGACGGGCTGGGCGACTGCAATGGCACTTGCTCCATATCAGAGCCACATCTGCAAGCACACGGTACAGTGGAGAGATCGGCAAAGTCTACAGACTTCCGAGGATGTTTAAGTCCGCATTTTTTTCACTGAAGCCGATTGATGATGGCTGTGGTGGTGCCCGGCCGATATGGCTGCGGTAGTGGCTCGGTACGTTGGGATGCTCTCTCGCTGCTCGTGGCATGGCCGACGCCATGCTGCTGGTATGCTCGGACGGCGGGCTGCATGCTGTGGCCGTCAGGTGCGGCGGCCGGCCCACCGTCTGTGCACCGTCCGAGCACAGTGAGGCCGGTCGGCCGCCGCGCGCGTGCCCACGGACGGCCGCGCCACTATCGCCGCCGTTTCGGACGCGGTTGGCGGTGTACTGCGCCAGTTTTTGTCGCGGTGACGGCTCCTCTGCCAGCTGCTGGGAAAGCCGTATTCAGTCAGCAGTGACGCTTTTTATCGATCGTTTCCAACGGGCCTTTCAACCGCGAATATGCATAACAGATGACAGGGGGTACTTAGTTTCTGACCGAGAGCTGAAATGGCTGATGCTTTCATGGTATGCACAGGGTTCTTTGTGTGCTCCTGGCTGTGATGTTTTCGTTTATCGTTTGTCAGCGACTTAGGCGGTTAATTACTCCGGCTCCCAACTCGCATAGGGTGTTTGACACCTGCACTGGCGGATCCAGGCTTGCGTTTTGGGGGGGGGGGGGGGCCAACTCATGCAGGAGCCAAACCTAGGGTACCCCCAAATCCTGTTTTCTCATCGGATTTAGGCCACTTATTTTTCGTCACAGCCCTGACACTATGATTTTTTTTTTAACTAAAAAGAAAAATATATAAATGGTAGCCCACCCGACCCATGCCTTTATATTACTTTGTAAACACTTACCATTGTTTTTATCGACCAGTTAAAGGGACCCTCCCACCTTAACATTAGATTTGAGCTGAGATAGCCAAAATGGGGTCCCTGGCTCACAATTACCGGTTTCGGCACGCACTCACAACATCGAGAAATGCCTTAAATCGGAAATATTGAATTTCAAAATTGCAGCATTTTGATTCAGAGGGGCTAATGCTTTTGGATACCCCTCTGAATGTGTGACGTCAGCGGAGATCTAATGATTTTTTAATATTTTACTAAAACGTTTGGTAGCATGCGGTGGTATAGGCTGCTTTGCGCGCAACAAATGCCGCACTTTCAAATAAAGTCGCTAGGAACAGCAGCGGATATCCCAAAAAGTAAACAAAAATAAAAGTCTAATCTCTTGAAAACCGGTGAATATGTTTCGATAAAATTTGGTAGATATTCGTTTTCGCCCTTTCTGAACCTAGCGACATCACTTTCATGCCAATTCATTAACTTTTTTAAAGGTGGGAGGGTCTCTTTAACCCGCTTCGAGTCAGTGCTTGGGTCCCTTTGCGGGCCGGGAGGTGGTAAAACAGCCCTGTCTAACTCGGCTCCTGGTCCACGCCCTGATTGAACTATGTTTCATTATCGTTTGGGGGAGGGGGAAAACGGGCCACTTTAGGCCTCTGGGAAGGGGGCATGGCCCTAAATGCCCCCTCCCTGGATCCGCCAGTGCAAGAAGAGACCATTGGAGCTGCAGTTGGGTACCTCAGACATCAGGGTACGCCCTCAGATGTATGTATAGGACTCGCATGGAGACCTCTTATGCTATAGTGTACTGAAAGGACCCAAAGGAGCCTGTCTATATGGGCTCCCGGAGATAGACGTGGGCCCTCAGGAGCCCGCCAGAGCCCCAATGAGGGATAAGTGAGGGATACCAAGTGCCTGCAATTGCATATTGCATAAGCCATAACGCCTTTACAAATCAATATATTATGCATCAGTGGCAGATCCAAGGGGGCCACATGGGTCATGACCCCCTTGGTGCCCGGGGGCACCACAGGCCTGTCAGGGGCACCACCGGCCTAGTAGGGGCACCACCAGCCCGCCAGGGGCACCACAGGCCTAGCAAGGGCACCACGGGCCTGTGAGGGGCCCCACAGGCTTGTCAGGGGCACCCCAGGTCTGTCAGGGACACCAGAGACCTGCCAGGGGCGCCGCCGGCCTCGCAGGGACACCATGGGCCTGTCAGGGACACCAGAGGCCTAGCAGGGGTACCACAGGCCTTACAGGGGCACCTTGGGCCTTGCAGGGGCACCTTGGGCCTGTCAGGGGCACCACAGTCCTGTCAGGGCCCAGGGGCACCAGCGGCCTAGCAGGGGCACCACAGGCCTGCCAGGGGCACCACCGGTCTAGCAGGGGCACCATGGGCCTGTCAGGGGCCCCACCGGCCTCGCAGGCATCACGGCATCACGCAGGGGCACCTTGGGCCTGTCGGGGGCATCACGGGCCTGTTGGGGGCACTTTAGGCTTGTCAGGGGCACCACAGTCCTGTCAGGTCCCAGGGGCATCAGCAGCCTAGCAGGGGCACCCTAGGCCCGCCAGAGGTACTGCCCACCGCTAAAGTAATGTAGGGTTTTACCAAACTCAACGGTTGGCTTTGACTGGCGATTGTTTAATGCGAAGTGATTGAAAAGAAGATGTCAATAGCTAAAGTTGCAGCTGCAAGGGTGACGATACATATAAGCTACATTCAAAGTTTCATTGTAGTCTGGCTAATCGTTCCTAAGCTTCAGAAGCAGAACATACCCATGACTGAAACCCCACATTACTTCTGCTGTGGACTGTACCACAGGCCTGCCAGGGTCCAGGGGCACCACAGGCCTAGCAAGGGCACCACGGGCCTGTCAGGGGCACCTCAGGCTCCCGTGCCCCCCCTCCCCCCCCCCCAGATCCGCCAGTGATGCCACACCACGCGAAACACCGCCAACTACCAGCTGCCGCGCCATAAACACGTGCCAACAACAGTCTTTTTTTTAAGGTCGACTCCGCTTGCGCAACTTTTGACTGACCCTCACTGCTACTATATTGCTTCCATATTATGCTGTGGAAAGCTTTACTTCACTAAGTGGCTAAAAACCTCCATCAAGGTATATTTTCTTAGCAATTTTTCTGGCGTTTTGGGGGGGCCAAACAGGCCACTTTAGGCCTTTGGGGGGGGGGGGCCATGGCCCCCGTGGCCCCCCCCCCCTGGATCCGCCAGTGGACACCTGGCTTATTCATCTCAGGCGTGGGGCACGACCATAAATATCACCATTCGCCGGTCTTATAATGGATTCGCTTCATTCAGAGA